GAGCACTCACTGTTGTGCCTTTCTCTATATATTGACAACAATTTTAACCAAAAACTTGAAATTTCCATTTATCACTCCATAAAACCTTTAGCGCACCCTGTGGGTATTAAAGGTACTGCGCTGCAGTTGTGTAATAGAACCCAGTTTGTTCATGTACATGGAGAGTCCTCTTTGTACACTAAGGTACATTGTACTAATGTAGTTCGTTATTATCAGGATGTGTGAAAAATTCACTGAAAAGCCTTCAGATGATCAAGGACTAGAGAGAGCATTTTTATTCTATATTGGCTTATCTTCAATGGCTCACTGTTAAAAGCAGGATAAACTTAAAGTCTTTCTCACCAAGGTCGTGAATAATCAGTCCCTATCTTATCTTAATGGCCTTATAGTACTCTATCACCCCATTAGAGTTCTTTGCGCTTAGACTGCGGGCTTGCTTGTGGTTACCAGAGTCTTTAAAAGTAGAATTGGTGACAGAGTCTTCAGCTTTCAGGCCCTTCTTCTGTGGAACCACCACCTAGTTTGGATTCAGGAGACAGATACCCTCTCTACTTTTACACTTAGGCTTAAAACTTTCCTTTTTGATAAAGCATATAGTTAGGTCTGGATCAGGTGAATCCTCCCTTAGTTACACTGCAATAGACCTAGGCTGCTAGGGGCTCTCATGATGCACAGTGTTTCTTCTTCACACGCGCCTTTTCTCTTCCTGCGTGTTTATACGCCACTTTCCTTTTGAGTATTAGTTATAATTCATCTCTGTCTCTCACTGCATGCCTTTGTCCTACGTTTGTCCCCTCACCCCAAACTGGTTGCGACAAACAGCCAAGCTTTTTCATGTTAAAAGGGAGTTTTTCCTTCCCACTATTGCCAAAGCGCTAACTCACAGGCAATCATCTGATATTTACTGTTTTCTTCAAAATATTGCAAGGCCCAATTATTGTGTAATTTGGCATATCACAGGTTTTGTTCCTATTTCCCTTTACTGTCAGTACAAATACAGTATTGTAGACTATTGTCTGGTTTTGCATCATATTTTACATTAGTCTTTTCTGCATTCTTGCAGTTTGGAGTTCAGCAAATCCCAGGAGAATTTTAAACCTGCATGTTGTGTGTGCTCCACTGCGTGAATGTAAAAAAGTTTCACCCGTGCAGATAGAAACTAAACATACTGTAAGAAAGAAACTGTTTGAACAAATTCAAAACCTTGTACATGTACTATACGTTTCTAGAAATTTATTCACATTCAATCATGCACAGCAGCAGTTTTAACCTTTAGTCAGTATTGCCAGTAAAATAAATATCTTGTATCTACAGCTGGAAATATTTTTTAACATTCAAAAATATACTTCAAATTAAAATGTCTGTAGCTTACCACATTGTGCTGTTTCATACATTCTAGTCAACAGCATTACATAAATGTAAAGGACACTGTGCGGAATAACAAAGCTTTCACATAGTGTGACTCTGATAGAGCACTTTTTAAAGTGTGTGATATCTGGTGAGTTTCTAGAGCGTCTGAGGCTTCACTTTCATTGCTCCATACTGAGTCCAGCTCCAATCCTGATCCTGCAGAGAGAAGCAACATATTCGCTCAGTACTTTTGTGCCAGTCTCCAATATTTAGCTGTTAATTAGTGCTCTAAAAAAAAACAACTTGGTAATTTGCTGATATACATGAGCAGAACATAAAAACACATCTCTGCCATACCATAATACTGTGCTCCATCTCTTGGGTGGCGTCTTGCAGCAAAGACGTTAGCTGACTCAGATAACGTTGATTTTCATCAAGTAAATGATGAACTGTTTCACTGAAAGAAAAACACAGACTATAAGGAGGGTTGGGAGTCTTTTTTTCCCTACAAACTGAAATTTTAAAGACCAAAGAGTGACCTCTAGTGGCAGTTTTGTGCAAAAATTCATCTTCTAAACTACAGATAAAATCCTTACATTTGGGAGATAATCTCAAAACAGTGTGACAGATTATTGTAGCTGTTAACTTCAGTAGTATTTTTCAGATATTAAACTGATCTCACCTGTCAGTGGAAGGCTGTGTAAGTGACGGAGATGGAGAACTGCTCTGGGCCTGAAAACACAATCACACCCTGTATTAGCAACAGTCTCATTTGACTATATTCAAACCTTTATGTTCCCTAAACACTGCTCATCCCCAAGAATATTTTCTGCTGTGCCAACTATTAAATGCTTACACAGGCAATCTTGAGAAGGTACCAGAACTCTCTCTGTCTCGACACTTGCATCTGCATCACTACTGTTTCTGCAGTTGTTATGTTTTTTAACGCCTTCTCCAGTTTAGGGAACAAATCCATGATGCGCTGCTTACACACCAGAATTGTGCTACAGAGAAAGAGAAAGATGGGGAAAAAAATCACACGTGGCCCACAGGGAACTGTAAAATTGTGCCTTAGATGGGCTGAATTAGACATGTTTGTGTGTGTGTGTTAAATTTAAACTTGCCTCAGGTGGGTGTACATGTCTTTCAGCACTCTGTCCTGGTTCTGAACTGTCTGAAGAATGGTCTTTACCATGTCTGAACTGTCACTGTAGCCATGTGGAGGGTCAGAGGCTGCAGAAGACACACTTACACAATCATGTACATAAAATATTTGGATATACTACACAACTACCATACCTTCTGTTTTTTAATCTAAAAAAAATTTGAAAAATCTTTTGGGACCAAAATGATACATTTGATCAACAAGACCTTTTGCACAGTTTGTAACTTGTTTATTAGAAGCTTTATCAGAATTACCTGCACTCTAATTGGCAAAAAGCATGTGCCTATTTCTGCTATTTTATTTTTGGAATGACTTGTACTTACTTTTGCATTTAGCCTTAAGTTGCTTGTAGAGTTCAATAGCCTTTTGCTCACTAAACAAGTAGACAGAATAAACACATGATTACGGCAGTTATTTTTAAAGGATATGCTAACATTTCTCTCCAAATAATCATCCATCCATTCGCTTCCGCTTATCATTTTCAGGTGTTGGAGCCAATCCCAGCTGTCATAGGGCAGAGGCGGGGTACACCCTGGACAGGTCGCCAGTCTGTCGCAGGGCTAACACACAAGGACAGACAACCATTCACACTCACATTCACTCGCACATTCACACCTAGTGGCAATTTGGATTATCCAGTTAACCTATCCCCACAAGCTGCATGTCTTTGGATGGTGGGAGGAAGCCGGAGTACCCGGAGGGAACCCACGCAGACACGGGGAGAACATGCAAACTCCACACAGAAAGATCCCAGCCTGATGGTGGAATTGCTGTGCGGCAACAGTGCTAACCACCGTGCCACCGTGCTGCCCTTCCAAATAATCATGTACGATAAAATCCTTCCAAAAAGTATTTTGATGTTTACGTGAAGCTAATGTGGACTATTAAGACCATTTTCCATTTTTATTTTTCCCTTTTTCATTGTCTGCTTAAGCATAAAAGACACCAACACAATGTTTTACCAATGACTTCCATACAAACCAGTCTAAATAGGGATTTCTAAAGAGTAGTATAAGCAATAAAGTAAATATACACTACATAAGCCTCCCTTAAAATATAATCCAGTTCTTACATTGGACTTTTACTATGGTGTTACAAGAGAGGGCTATAGTATAAGTTTGTATCACAGAAATACTCACAGCTGCTCCATCACATCCCCTTGTCTCCTAGCAAAAGGACTCCTTTGGAGCTCCACAATCTCCGAATGTAGAGCCACTATCTCTTCATCCAGATACCCCACATCTGCAACCTGCAGGAAAAAAACCCAAACCAAAACACTCTTAGCTGTCTTTAAACTTTAAAGAAAGTTTGTGAAGAATTACTGAATTTAAAACCGCCTCACCTTTGTAAATTCATCAGCTTTCTCTTCATTTTCATGCCATTTCTTCAGCATTTTTTCCGAAGCTTCAGATAACAACAACAACAACACAACAATAAGATATAGTCAAGTTAAGACTTCAGTAATGAGTTAACAGTGTTGTAACAGGACAGTAGCATCCACTCACAGATTCCAGCCTTGCTCTGCTTGGTGTACTGCTCAAGGTCATGCTGGATGCTCGTCTTAAAGAAAGACAGTTTGGCTTGGAGCTGCTGCGACTGGGAGAACAGCATGTTCTTGTAGCGCGTTAAGTTGGTGTTGAAGCGTAGCAAACTCAGCCTACGTAGACACATACATGTTAAAATGTTTGAGTACCTGAATGCACACTGCTCCAAAAGACAATTAAGGGATCACTCCTTCAACACAGTATTACACAAAGTCAGTTAAACTTAAGGAATAAAACATAAAGCATTGTAAATCCATTTCACCTGCTTTGGTGTAAATAAAAGTGGTGCCCTGTTCTCTTGAGATGAGATCAGGTTCTTCTAAGGCCCTCCCCAGTGCTTATTATTCTCAATATCCCGTGGTATCTCTTGGTTTGCTGATGCTAACATCAATGACAAGTACACTTGCAAAATGCAAAGCTAGAGAAAGGAGGGATAAGGAGAAAGCAATGGTCTTTGGCCACCACCTACTAAACTTTTTTGGGATTATCATTTTTCTGTCTTTTTAGTGCTCCTGTTGTCACTTTTATTTGCACCAAAGCAGGTGAAATGGATTCACAGATTGTCCAGTGTGCTTCCCAACTGGACAAACTGATGTAACCCACTTTGTGTTTTACTGATTTGACTTATTTACTGATAATCAAATGTTCAGGTAATTTCTTGAAGTAGTGCATTTTTTATGCGTGGTGTTTTATGCACTCACATAGCAGCCCTCTGCCCTTGGTATAGGCGATTGTAATCCTCTTTCAGTCCACAGATGTAGCTGACCGCTTCACCCCACACCTTTCTAAGAGCAGACAGTGGCAACTGTGTCTTAGTCTCCCTCACTGAGACCATAGAGAGAACACAAAGTTAGTTAATGCCACATTGATTTAGACACCACATTGAAACAATTTTCCTCCATGCTTCTAAAAAGCATTCACAAAGACCCAAATCTCATTATAATTATGCACACTGCCACCTTGGTTTGTTCACTTCCTGTAATTAACTTTTATGTAAACGTTATGTAAGATCTCCATCAGTTAAGAACCTCATAAAGATATACTAATTTAACTAGATGTTTAAGACAGCTGAGGGATATTCATGGATCTGAGACTTTTAAAAGTTAAATAAATGGCTTCATGTAACCATTCACAATTTTCTTAGTCACTATCTTCCAAGTCTAAAGGACAATCTCCAGAGATCTGCTGAGTAATGTTTACAAGCTCAATATACAGTTTTATAGCTCACCAATAAAGTTGACACTGTCTGGCAAAGGTCTGGCAGTCAGCGGTCCAGAGTACTTGGTTAGGCTCTTATCAAACAGGTAGACTATAAAGGTGTCCCAGCCACGCTGAAAGCAGAGAATGAATATTGTTCTGGGTATAATCATGTGTTTAAGCAATGTTTAATGTTTAACTAATAATCATCGGTAATAACAAACACTCTCCTGCTGGATTATTCCAGAGACTGGAAACAAGCCATTCCTATACATTCAGCACTGTCAGTAATAACTGACTAATCTGACTTGCTTAATTTTTACTTCGCCCTTTGCTGGATTTAGCTGGAAACAGTCGATTCCAGTTAAATTTACCACACTGTTAAAACATGACAACAACAAAGCAGTTTAACTCTGGAAAAACCCCAATATTTCAAAACAACCAAAATGTTTAAGATGGAAAAAAAAGTAGGTCACAGGTCTGCACCTGTTTCACATTTCATATTTGTTTTTATGTGACACATACCAGTCCATCTGGCAGACAGTGCGCGAGCGGTCTTCGAGGGTCAAGGGAGATTCCCGTCTCCAACAGCAGCTCCTGACTCAGCGGGGGGATGTGACTCTGAGTCTGCGTCTGCAGGCTAAGCTGCAGGGAGTGTAAACTATCCTCAGCACCCAAAACCACTGAATGCAGCTGGGCTGAGGTCATATCCAACACATGAATGATCTGAAGAAATAAATATGCAGAATGACAGGCTTCTTTTGCTTGCTACCCTTTCTCAGTCCGGTCACATGTATAAAACCACAAAAGCATTCCATATAACCTGGGTTAAGTGAGTCTAGCAAGGTTCGAAATATTAACCTTCATGTTGAGAATATTCTGCAGAGCTGTGTAGAAGTACGGCTTGTTTGCGCCAGGATCCAGGCCGCCACCACGCATCGCAGGGTCCCACAATAACAACATTTGGAGAAGAGACTCGACTGGTTCCAGTAGCGGCCTTGAAACAAACTCAGAGAGGTCAGATGCTACTTATAATGAAAGAAGCTCAACTGTTGGGTACAAAAAGTGTCTTTTTAAGTCTACCTGCTGAGATTGTTGGGATATGGAAGATGTGTAGAAAATCTGACTTCTCCATTCATGTCTTCTACTGCCATGATGTCTTTGGGACCTTTGTTCTTGACTTTGCTTGTCCTACCAAAGCAGAAAAACATGTTAAAAACAAAGCCCATGCTCTCTCTTTACATTACTTCTACTTTTATTAACAGGTCTTCACATTACACAGGTGTTATATGTATCTATGAAGAGGATAAATAACAGTAAATAATGCAAAAATCCAGATAGGGAGCCCTAAATTTGTGTCATAAAGCCCCAGTAGAAACACAATAAAGGCAGATAATTCATCCTTGAGGATGATACAAATGATATGAATCATATGTTCTGGCATTTATGACCCAATTTTAAGGGACATTTTAGTGATACATGGTAGACAGCAGTATACACCACCATAACTAAAACACAAAATGAGTGAATATCTTCTGAATGAGTGGTGCACCACTCCTCCAGTGGAGTCACAGAGACTTGAGTAAACATTGCACATTTTAACTGCTGTGTCAGCAAGTGATGGCACAACACCTTACTAAGAGGCTTTATTTGTATTTACGTAGCACACAACAGCTGCGTAGAGGTGTCAAAATCAGAACGTTTACCAGTGATGTTTCGATTTCTAGCCCCATATTTTTATTCCTAGATTCTACTGGGGTAGTTTTGCATGATTCAAAGTTCAAAATATTCATTATATTATATTGGGTCACATCTCTTAATCTTTGAATTCAGATTCTTTCAGTCTCATTGCCATCGGTGTAAAGAAAATCAAGTATCTAGCCTTGCAATCTGCCTTTACGAACATTTGTGAAAGACTGGATTTCTCTAATCAGCTTGCTGAATTTTGAGTGTGGCTCTGTTATAGCTGTTGTCATCCACCATTACAACAAGTGAGTTTGTGAAATTTCTTTCAAGATTTTCCATGATCAACTAGAAGTGGCATTACTGTAAAGCGGAAGTGTTTGGGAACAGCACCAACTCAGCCACACAGTGACAAACCATGTAAAGTTATAGAGTGTGGTCACCAAGTGCTGGGGCGGATAATTGCCAGCACTCTGCTGAATCATTAACTGCAGAGTTGTAAACCTGCAGTTAATGATAAAATCAACACAAAAACTGTGCCCCAGGAGCTTCATGGCACAGGTTTCTATGGTGGAGCAGCTCCTGTAGGTTTTAGGAGTAGATGGCCTGGTCCATATAGCGCATCTCTTACACTGGTGCAGCCCTTCAGTTCATCCGCTATCCAAAACAAATTGTTTTAACTTGTCTCCCTTTAGGCCAATTTTCTTCTGATTGCAAAAAAACATATGTGAACATTGGGTGGGTGGGAATTCAGTGTTCAGAGCCAGAGTTATGTGCCCAGGATGAACATATTATGGATATTCCCTCTTTCTGACATCATACAAAGGCAAGAGTACCTTGAGGTTTTGACTCAGATGTTACCTTATACGTCATTTGGTCTCTTTATTTGAAACGTTGACCGTGTTCACTCTGAAAATCTACCATTGTAACAGTATTTATATGACAAAAATAATTAGAGGAATAATAAACTCTCACATTATAGAGGCTTTAATGGCCTTACTAATTTGGAAGTTCACTAACGCCCAGATTCCTGAGTATTCATGCATTGTTGCTATGTTGACTCACCATTGTACAGGCTGCATGTGGTGAAGAAAGGGGCGAAAGCCACAAGTGCATTCAAAAATTACTGTTCCAAAGCTCCAGTAGTCCACCGTTACAGTGTAAGGCTTGTTCTCAAACAGCTCTGGGGCCTGGCATACAGACAGACAAGTTAATAATAACAGGGTCTGATGTTTAACATATATTAAAAACACATTGACAGCAAAGGAATATATTTGTGAAACAACACTTACCAGATATTGGAGAGTTCCAACAAAGGATGTACAGAGACTGCCCTGATCTAAGTCTTTTGCATAACCAAGATCAATGATTTTATGCACGTGCTGTAGGAAACATATTTCCATAATGAAAGCAAGGAATAGAAAGTCATATTATGTGTATTCAAAACTTGTGCGTGCATGTACAAAAGAAAAGCTAGTTTACCTTCCCATCAATCTCTTGCAAAACTATGTTCTCTGGCTTTAGGTCTCTGTGAATGACCTTATTTTCATGGAGATATTGAATACCAGAACCTGTAAAATTGTACAGATTATGCATCAATATGTATGACTTTTTTAAATAATGTAAAACTGATTAAAATATTACCAATGTCACTGAGCAGTGCAAGGACTTCACTCTCCTTTAGGCCACAACAATTTTCTGGTTTATTCAGCACCTGAATAAAGAATTATATTGGTTACTTGGATACTTTAAAAGATAAAAAAGTGTTTAGGGTTTTTATTAAATATCCATGTGGTACCTTGCGTAGGTCTCCTTTTGAGCAATACTCCATGGCTAGCAGTGGTAGATCATTTATCGCAATGGAGCTCAACTCTGCTGGAACATCTCTGGCCTGAACAACGTTCACATGATTCAGCCTGCACATAAAGAGCACCAAACGTGCTGTCACAGTAGAAAACAACACAATGTACAGTGAAATAGGTTCAAATAACACCCTGTCTGTTCAAACAGACAATTACTGCTCACTTCTTCATGATCTGAATCTCTCTCGTCCAACGGTCTTTGTTCTTAGAGTTCAGCTCCAGTCTGCAAAGTTTCACAGCAATCTTCTCTCCTGACTCCTGTTGCGAACACAGACAGGGAGTAAAAACAAATCAAAGGCACACCCGGTTCATGTTTTCAGAGATGTACAGATGGATGACAGAACTTACAAGGTGCTGGTATAGGTAGACGTGCCCAAAGCCTCCTGTCCCAAGTCTTTCCTTCATCTCCCAAGAGCCACAAGGCTGGCTCTGTTTGAGTGCAGCCCGCTCCATACTGTCAGATCTGCTGCAATCACCAGGCACCAGAGGTAGTTTGTAAGGGCCTTCAGCTATCAGAAAAAAAAAAGTTTTTAGATTATTATTTACATCTTATCTGGCATGGCAGGTAATGTTAGCAGTATGGTGCTCTGTACAGTATGCGTTTATGCAATAGTGCATTCTTATTCTATTCATTCTTATGTGAATAACAGAGGTGAGTAAATCCATTTAACATGGTTATCATATACCAAGTTATATAATCTTCTACACTTGAAGCTAATCGCTTCTTATGTAGTTGTTGGTTTATTTTTTTATGTTTTATTCCTGCTGTAATTACAGTAACTAAGGCTTTATAATACTGTAGCTAGCTATCTGTTTTGGTCATTTGTTGTTGTGGGACGGTTATAACGATTTAGTGCCAGTCTGATAACTCAGAGATAACTTGACTAGTTGTACATTCTTTTAAATTAAAAGCATAACCCGCTTCACAAATGTAATCAACTTACCTGTGCAGAAGCTCAGAGTCGGCAGAGGAGACTTAGCTTACTTTGTGTGTGTCAGAGCATTGTTGCTTCAGTTAGCTTTAAGTGTTGTTTACGGGTCGTTTTCCTATGTAGTGTTTAAAATACACCGACTCAGCCCGCGAAAATTCACTTTTACCCTACTGGACCATCAAACAGGGCTTCAACGATGAAGTTTGCGTGGTAGTTTTTTTCTGTAGTTTTGGCCGGCAGGCAACAACGACTGAAAAACAGCTCGACTTCGATGTAAAGTGAAAGTACACTCTCTCTGACAGGCAGGCGTAGTTTCTGCGCATGCGTAGCAGGCAGGCCCAGAACACATGGGGATTTAGGTCTGTCCACTTGATGGGGGATTTCCAAGCAACTCAGTGAATAATGGGTCACGTTTTTCTTTTAATTTCACAAAATTATATATGAATATATATATATATGAGGATCTGGGTTGTTTGCTTCACAACATAAACTGTACCAATTTCTTACCAAGAATAAATGTTTTTCTTTTAAAAAATAGTAATGTCTTCATTTCCTCACTAGGTGGTGCAATGTCTACAGCTACAGTCAACCGGTACACTGCACAATCTGAAAGACAATGGGAATGTATATACAGCACTGTGCACACCCCTCTCGGCCACCCCTAACTGCCTAATATTTTACTTCCAAGGAGACAGAGGTTATTTTAATTTTTAAAGTGATCATGAGTAGTAGTTCTTAGAGTTTTTGAGGGTCTTTTAAAGTTTTTCTCTGGAGATTGACTACTTTTGACTCATTTTCAGTCTACTTCCTGTGCCTGACAGTTTTCAGTGGAATTAACACTGACTTATGAATCATTCAAGCATAAAAACACTAACGTAAGTGATGAATCAGTGTTGTGGCTAAACGTAAAAGGCAACTTTACCACAACCTACCAAGCAATTTTAGATTCTCTCTTCAGGCACTTTGTTACTAACGGCCTGTCACATAAACACATATTTAGCTCCCATTTAATTAGGTGATTATACAAAAAATGAGAAATAGCATAAACACCTAGAGCAGATGATGTAATAAATAAATAAATAGAGATTGTATTGTCTGGGATAAATTACAATTTCATAATTTCTTGTAACATGAGCTCAAAGAAGAAGTACAATAAATGAGGCAATGTGATTGCACCATTTAAAGTGTGATTACAAGCTGACGTAATGACAAAGCAGTGTTGATACTCCTTCCTGCAGCTGTCTTTTCTGTTGTTGCATTTGCTGTCGGGTTTTAAAAATCAGACAGATTTCATTAATCAAAGTATGTGATTGCGTGCAGGTGGGTCTTTTTCAAAACTGCTTACTTTTGCAATTCTCAAAACCTCTCTTATAATAATTTCCCTGAAAAGCAGAAGTGAGTAATTCGTGATTGAATACAGAGAACATAGGTGACACAAATTTCTCATTAATTCACTATTCATGTTTTATTTTAAGTCAAGTCAAATATATTTATATTGAAGAGAGAAAGAGAACAGCTGTTGATAAAAGTGTTACACATCTAAATGAATCAAATAACTTAAAATGATGTGGGAAAAAATGACAGAATTTAAGGAAGGAAACAAAAGTGAAAAGTACCTCAGTAAAAAGAAGACATCTAAATAAAATTTATTATACTAGTCAATTTTGTATAACAGGAAGGCATGGATAGCTCTCTCAAAGACTCTGAAACAGAGGAATGGCTTCACTTCTGCAGGTAGCTAGGGATGGAAGAAGCATTACTCTGTTAATGTGTTAAACGTTAGATTCAATTTGCTCAAAGTGTGCTAAATTGTAAAAGAACTGAGGTCAGGACCACCCAATGCAATTACTTCTGTGTTTTGGTAATCTCAGTTGAGAAAATTTAAAGAAATCCATGACTTACTATCTTCCAGACAGACCTGTAAGGCCTTCAAAGGAATCATGGATTATGCTTCAGTAGCAGGTAAATCTGTGAGTCATCTGCATACCAAAGAAATGAGATCGAGAGGGGATTTTTTAAACTAAGCCCTAGACTGGCAATAAATCGACTAAAGGACTGGTGTAAGAGGTGTGATAAAGCTATTCCTCTTAATTTTTTTTATTTTATTTAAGTAAAGCAATTCAATACTGCATTTTTGTACTAAAAGAAGACCCACCCTTTATTTACAGTAGCATTACCACTTACCATTGTAGCTCAATAGTAATAATTAAAAGATTAACAGTCCAAAAGAACAGTGCAAGAGTAAATCAAAGGCATAAAAACGAAACTCCTGGAGTCAAAATGACAAAATCAACACTTCGGGTTGCAGCTGACTCCAGCCACAACTATCCTGGGTTTCCCAGGGTTGGGTAATTGTAACATGTAGTTCCCCTTTTGGCTGAACACCTGGCCGTGTTAGTTAAATTAGGCTTTTATTGCGTATCTCCTTTCAGAGGCAGTAATGTCTTTCATTGTGCTGGACATGAGTCCCAAACATTTTGCACAAAGTGCAACATTTGGCTATCATCATCATCATCAAAGAGGAAGCGTGACTAACACAAGCATCAAAGCTGATGAGGTAATTTGTTCAGTCAAGAAATTTCCAAATAAAATTTATAACAATGGCTATTGTTGTACAGGAAATAGTATGAGGCTGTTAGTGTGCAGAAACAACAAGATCTTTAACAACTGCTGCTTTTCTTTGCTTTTTTACAAGCAAATATAGGTGCAATTTGTGAGGGGTGGGAGGTTGTTTGGGTTTTTTGTTTTTGGTAATAAAGATATAAAAGTCTATAAAAGAGAACTGGTAATTTTTTGTTTTAATTTATCATTCTTCAGCAGAGATTATAAATTAATGCAGCAAGGAAAAAGAATATAAAAGGCTTTACAGTCATTTTTTCATTGTTATCAAATTTGTCTCTGTACACCATCCATGGTTGATTTTAAATAAGATTAACTTTAATTTAGCTTTAATTTGAGGTGTTTTTATTTTTTTAAAAATGCAATTTTTGCAGTAAGGCTCAAAGTAATTGGATGATTGACTTGAAAACAGTTACACGGCCAGCTGAGCCCACACGTTTGGTAGCTTTTCACTAGAACTGTCAATGCAGGGTACAAAGAGCCATTGGTGCACATGAAGGAGGCCATCATTAGGCTGAAAAATGAAAACAAATCAATTAGGGAGAGAAAAACTTTAAGAGTGGCAAAGTCAACAATCTGTTGACCCACAGGACTGCTTCGGTGATCATTGCAGATTTATTTCCATGATTAAAAAACAGTTTCATAACATGCAATAAAGTCAATAACATGATCTACAATCAAGAGAGGATTTCATGAATGCAAATACTGAGGGTTTAAAACTGTCAGTATCTGCATGTTCCAGAAAACATCTAAACTAAAAGAGCCCTCACGATTAAAAAACAACAACATTTCTTTAGACAGATAAAACCAAAACTTAACTTGTCCCAGAGTGGCTGGAAGAAAAATGCATCAAGAAAGAGAGGCAGATTATTAAACTTTGTCTATGTCCAAATTTGTTTGACATTGCATTTTTAATGGTTAATACATTTGAAATCACTTTTTCCAAATAAATAAAAAAATCTTTGTTTGCTATTTTGACAGTCTATAGACTATAAGGCTCTGCTATAACACACACAGCTAGGACAAACATACAGAGTCCTTCAGAGCTTAACATAATAGATTTAGAGCCTTAGACTAATCTCTGAGCACAGTCACTGTAACATGTAATGTCATGAAAGCAGTACAGACGATATTAAGCAACCATTGTCAGATTTTCAGAACTTTCATGTAAGCTCCATGTACACGAAAAGATTATGAAAAATGCTGTACAGATTAAAGACTTATTCTTACATTTTGCAATTTATTAAACTTATTGTTACATTTTTTTTCTTTTTTGTGGTCTTATTTTACGGGGTTTTTTTGTTGTTGTTGTTTTGTTTTTTGTGACCGACTCTGTCCACAAATTCTGGACAGCAATTCTTCAATCACATGTTTCAGTGTACACATGACCAATTTTGGATATATTTTTTTTAAATTTTTCTTAAGAGGAAGGGGCTGTTCACTGGATGTGTGTCACAGGACATGACAAATTCCCTCCCACTTGCAGTCACGGTAATTTAAAAGGGAGGAAACACAAGCAGAGTCACAGCAGAAACACCAGAACAACCATCAGTGTGAGCCTGAGTACTTAAACAGTGCAGGTGCATATCAGAAGGTACAGAGAGGAGAGTCAACTGGAAGAAATAATAGTCTTCATTGGCACTGAAAGTCTGGAATTAAAGGTAAACACTTCTCTTGCAAAGTGTCTTAGACTTTTAGACAATCAGCTGTTTTAGTTATATTTAAGAATGCACATGATTTCTTAGATATGAAGCTGTTTGATGTCAAACACAGCGCACTGAAAGTTAACCACACAATTATTTTCTTATGTCATTATCAAATTGACATTGTGTTCTTAGAATATCTAGAAATTCATAGTTTGAACTGCACACATTGCAAAAATAATGTGATATAAGGTTGTGCGCAGACTTTACTGTTAATCAGCGTAGATATTATGCTGTTTGTAGTGCTAGATTGTTTAAAGTCTGCACACGATGGACATCCTCTATCTGTCGCTCTCACATTAAAACCTCAGGAATGCAGCATTTTGTCAGGAAGCTAAATATCTATGTCAGTGGCATGGCGAAAGAACATGAGGTGTTTTCCTTGTGTTTGTATGTTGAATATTGAACTGGTTTGGCATGACATTAAACATTTCGTCACTCTTCACATTTAAAAACCAGAGCAAGAAAGCACGGTTTCGTAGCGGTCACACGTCTCCATCATGTGTTGAACGATAAGCACCATATAAGGGGACAGCAAGTTTCCTTCCACTTACCCACGATTGTTGTGTTCCTTTTCTGTAAATTCACAGACAAAAATATCCCCCAAAAACAGAAGCAAAACAAGAAGTGAAGATGAATCTCTTTGTCCTCGTTGCCATCCTTGCAGCGGTCAGCGTGGATGTGGTAAGAAGTGGTTTAAGAGCTATTCTGATGGAGGTCAGAAGGTTTTTAATTTTTCAGTATGACTAAGTTTCTCTATGCTTCTTTCAGGCTTTTTCACAAAGATCATCCAAACAGGCAAGACGTAAGTCATTTCAGTGGTTCTAGGTAAAGTTCTTAAGGTTTATACTTTGACAGCATGCATTAAATGTTCTCACCCCTCTTTGTGCTGTGATCTGCAGAACGGTGTCTGTCTGGAGATGGGAGTGAATACAGAGGAAATATTGACAAGTCATCCACCGGTCGCACGTGTCTCTACTGGAACAAGGTTAAACCTCAATGGAAAAATGTAAATGGACTTGGCAAACATCGTTACTGCAGGTATGCTTTGGGCTACCAATGTGATGTTTTTATACTGTATGTCTGACAATAGGTAACCCATGTTTAATATAATTGTACTTTAGGAATCCTGACAATTCTGACATGCCATGGTGCTATGTCACAAGAGAAAGAAGGACTGTGAGAGAATACTGTGATATTCCCACATGTAAGTCTCATATTGGTGATTTACTTTTTCTATTTGCTATATTTTATTGAAGATTGGTCTGAATTTTTCTAATGCTTTCTGTTTTCTATTCCAACGAAGGTTTTGCACCACTACAAGCGCCTCCTCAACTACCTGTAGATACAGGTAATTTTGTTGTTTAAATCCAGTTTTTCCTAAATCACAAGGTATGATTCTCTTTATTAGCTCCCGCTGACTTATCCCATGTGTCCTTCCAGAGAAAACGTGTGGAGAGACATCTGAGAGGAGGATTCATAAAATTGTAGGTGGCTCTTTCACACCTATAGAGTCGCAGCCATGGGTTGCTGCCATTTTTCATAAGCGCTATGGCTTCCTCTGTGGTGGCACTCTCATTTCACCAAGCTGGATTCTCACTGCAGCTCACTGCTTCTCTGATGGGTGAGAAAACAAAGCACCGTGTTATTTCCTCCAATGACGTCATCGCACTGTAATTTCAAAATCATTCATGTTGGTGTGTGACATGTTTACACATTTGTGTGTTTGGTTTTTGTTTAGTGAGAATACCAAACTCACACATCTGTCCATATACCTGGGAAAGAGTGCCATTAATGAAACGAATGCCAGTAGTGAGCAGAAGTTTGCTGTGGAAAGACTCATCATGCATGAAGAATATAATGATATTACCTATAATAACGACATAGGTGAGCACAAACTCTGTTGTGACTAAACTGTGCATATACACATATAAAGAACTACTTTGAGCACAGAACTTACGGGTGTTTTTATTTTTACATTTCAGCTCTGATTAAGCTCAAAAGCAGAGATGGAGGACGTGCAGCTAAATCAGCTTCTGTACGCATAGCTTGCCTTCCTCCATTTCACACTGAGCTACCTCCTGGATTTACATGCACCATCGCAGGATTTGGGAGGGAGAGCGCAGGTTAGTAGTACAGGACCTCCATCCTTTAGACTGAGCTCTGTTCTCTCAACCTTTTCTCACATTTGACACATTGTTGCAGGCTCATTCCAGTTCTCACAGTATCTGAAAAAGGCTGAGGTAAAACTGATGTCCAACGCTGACTGTAGCAAAGAAGTGCACTACGGAAAACGCATCACTGAAAACATGTTCTGTGCTGCGAGCCCCGACTGGAGCACTGATGCCTGCAAGGTAAGGACAGGGCGCAGGGTATGTCGTGGGAAACAAGACATTTGGGCTTGCTTTAAATATATACATCAAAAGAGAAGTGAGTTAGAAGAAGTGGTAACTTGAATTGCAGCATGCATCATAACCTTTGACAGCTTTAAAGCGGATCTGAAGAGTATTTCTTCCTCTTCTTGAAGAAACTTGCTAACATTGAAAAGTGCTGAATAGCATAATGTCAGATAAGTTACCTTTAGGTTGAAATTTGTTGCTAGTTGTCAACCTCAAGACAAGTCAAGGGTTACCTTCTGAGTATATTTTCACAGTTTTCACATGAAAATATTTGTTTGTCAGGGAAAAACTGAATCAGAAAACAAAATAATGATAAACCTGGAAATTTTATTTAACACCTGGCTGTTTTGCCCTTTTCCGCAGGGAGACTCTGGCGGTCCTTTGGTGTGTGGAGCATCAGGTCGGATGTTTCTGTTCGGCGTGGTGAGCTGGGGTGAGGGCTGTGCCTTGAAAAATAAACCAGGTGTCTACACAAAGGTCACCAACTACAACACATGGATTGCAGGAAAAACAGGACTCATCAAATACGCAAAAGGACTGATGTATCCCCTGAAATGAAACTGTCCCAGAATCGTATTTATTTATTAAGTGTTCCCTAAAAGCAGCAGGCTTTTTGCACATGCAAGCAAGTGCAGATGTTGCAGGTTTTGTTCTGAGAGCAGCTACCATCGCTTACTGTGAACATGTTTTTGCACTGAAACAATTTAATGTAAATATTTAAAAAGAGTATTTTAAAAACTGCTTTAATTGTCGGTTGCATTATATATTTTTATATACTTGTGCATTTTTCAGGTATTCTGCATATTTATTATTGACTTTTAAAATAAGCAATTAGGAAACATATTTATGTCAAATAATTTAATTTCATATAAAAGGCTGGTCCTGCTGTTGATGAAAAAAATATATATAATAAAAGCTTATTTATCAACTCATTTTTACTGTCTCTTTTATCCCTGGGTTACACGTATAACAAATGGCAAGGCCACTTGTTTTCCTTTTACACAGAAATAAAGAATTCCACCCGAGTGGCTGACTCAGACTAAGCTAAAGAGTCCCAAAGTCAAACATCAGAGGGCACTGTTGTGTGAAATTTTCTTTTTTTTTAGCCTCAAAATAAAGATCACAAAAGTATTTTAGAGCAAACAATAGTGACCTCTGATCTGTTTCATATCTGATCTGTGTGCTGTGTAGCAGTTTGGAGACGGAACTCAATAGACTAGAAAAACAACAGGGGTCAAAACAAGACACCAGACTAGATAAACTGCTTTGCATTTGTCTTCTGTCACAGATAAAGCATTCTTTGTTGCCATCTTCAGTCTGCTGTAGATTGACATCCAACCACTCCCACATGCCCTGTACTATAACTTCAACCACTCCTGCTCTTCCTGCTCACTTGTTTCCCATACCCTCCATAGCTGTGGTTTTCCAGACCTTTAGAAACCTGGCGCTTGCAGAGGCATACTCTGTGACTGCATCTGCTAAAACTTCCTTACCTTACCTCATTATCCTGCTGTACCTGTAACATAGATGAACTGTCTGGACTTGAATCTGTGTTTCTAGCCCCAATGTATTATTTAGGCAAAGGCTAAAAATGCATTTGAATACAAACAATTTAAAAAAAGATAATGCATGAATGCTTAATAAGAAACAAAAGTCTTGAGCTCATTTCACTGTGACATTTGGTAATTTAAACCAGGAAATGTCATCATGTGATGGTGCTGGATAGAATGTCAGGACATTACCAAATAAGAACATTCATTCTTACGAATGTGTAGACCGCAAATAAAATTCAATGAACCTAAGCAATTTTTAATTGAAGCATTTCTATAAAAACAACAAATGTCAAGCTGTTGACAGTTCTCAGTGAAAGTGAACTCAGGAGATCTTCAAAGTCATTATGTTAAATCCTCAACTCATATTGTTGCAAAGGAAAACATATATACTGAACTATTGCATGCAATCATCACCACCGTTTATTGCTTCCAAGTGGTCTTGAGCAATAGTTGAAAGTCTTTCCAAGGTTTTCTCTGACTGTTGGCTACTTTTTCATTTATTTTCAGCCGACTTCTTCTACCTGACAACTTTCGGAGAAGAATGTTTTTCATTACTTATTAAGCCACTTAACATTACCCTATGAATCATTCAAGTATAAAAAGGCATCTAATTAAAAGGATTAACCAGTGTTTTCCCTACACATAACAAATAGTTTAGCAAAGAAATTTTAAACTGTATCTTTAAGGACTTTGTTACAATCAGCCTGTTGCAAAAACAAATCATTTATTCTTATTATAACAGTCATAAAATTTTATTTTTGCACCAAAAAGGTGATTCACCGAGAGCTATTAGCTGAAAACGTGTCATATACCAGCACAATGTGATTTGTGTCCTTAAATATAATTGAGGAAACTGGTCAAGTGGAAGACAAAAGAAGAAGTAGCAGGCCTAAAATAACATCTTCAGCAAATGAACAATATCTGAAAGTTGCATCTTTAAGAAATAGCAAAGAATCCAGCAAATCCCTGACACCAGACGTGAAAAATACAACTGGGCCTTCAGGTGATCCATCTACGTTTCACTAAAGCCTTATCAGAAATGGTCTCAGTGGAACGGTGGCTGTCAAGAAGCCATTCTTGATGAAGGAATGGGGGAGAAAAGGCTGAGGTATGCCAAATTACACAAGACGCAGTTCAAACAGGTGTGATGGATCCAAATTTTCCATTTTTGGTTAAAATTGTTGTTAATATGTATGGAGCAGGTCAGGAGAAAGCACAGCAGTGAATGTCTACTGTAAACCACAGCAGAGAAAACGTCAGGGTTTGGAAATCTTTCACAGGAAATCTTTTCAAAAGTGATGGGATACAGAACATAGAAAAGTACCATGCATTACCATGTAACACTATCTGAAAAGCATCTGATTAGATCAAGGGTGACTAAAGACATTTGCACAGCACTGCATGTTGTAGTGGTATAGTAAGAAACTGTGGCTTATGTGCAAGTGAAGGCAGTGCTACTAAACATGGTTCAGCTGCACAGTGGCCAAACCTCATATCTTCTCAGACATACAGCATGACTCCCAATATGACCACATACCACAACAACAATCACTCAAAAAGAAATATTTGAAGGGAGCACTAAGCATCACTGCTCCAGCCATGATACGCAGATTAAGTGCAATGAAAGCATCAGAATACACAGCGTTGTTGTGAACAACCATAACATCCAGTTGGTCATTGTGTCATTTCTGAGCACATACTCTAAAGCCTCTCTTAACAACCTGCAGCAATGTTTTCTTTCAAAGTCTGTTTGGACAAGTCCACATATACAGATAGTTCACAGCAGGGCTACTGGAGCCAATCAGAGACTGTCCCACCCCTCCTCAATTACTCATAGACACCAGTTTACTTTATTGCATCTCCTACTCTGCCTCAGTCCATATAAGGTTTGGAGATGCAGTGAGTACAACTCTTACTCCTCTTTAAGGACAATTCCTGAGATGAGAGGACATTTGTGGGGTCATTTCTAACCAGTCCACTATGTCTGATTTGGGGGGTTAACCTTTTGTCCACATGCATCCACACTTGGTTGCAGGCTCTTTGGTTAATGTGGGGTCTTGAGGTTATAAATACTGCAGTTTTTGCTGCTGGGTTCGCCACTTTCCCTAACAGAGATTCAATTGTGAGGTGCATGGACAGCAAACAAGCCGGCAAGCATGCACACACAAGCGAGAACTGCAGGCATAAATGACATTCATGAGCATTGTCACTTGGGTTGTTAAGTAGCCTATCTTCAGCACCAAAGTCCAGAAGCAGAGAAACAGCATGTGGGTGCTGTGCTGTAATCTTTGAGACTCCTTTCAGCTCCAGACTGCAGCAAGCTGAATCCTTGGTCTTTATTTAGACCTGCACATTGAGGCCTAGAGACATGAACTCCTGACCCACCTTTTAATGGACAGAGATCATATGTCAGATGTATGTTCAAAGCTTCATAAAACCACACCAACAAAAAAAAAATTCTGCACTAGAGCCTACTAGGTGGTGCAGAACCTGCTCCCTTTTCTATCCCTTACAGTCTCACAGATGTAAAGCTGACCTTTATGAGTCTGCAGGGAGTCACAGCTCAATATGTTTACAAGCTTCCCTTGTTCTTTCCTTGATATTGCGCGCCTCCACCCCTTATCTTGAATCATAATAGCATAAGTTACCCCAACACTTTCCCTTTTTGGGGGCTATTGGCATGCATGACGTCATTTGGGAAGAGCTCTCACTGTGTGTGTGTGTGTGTGTGTGTGTGCAGGGAAGGCGTCAATGCGCACCAACACCAACCAGCTTGGCAGCTGTATTCCTTCGCTGTGATTGGACAGAGGGCGGTGATTCCTTCTGTCACGATTTGGGTCGCTCCCACCGGAGAACACCAACCGTCTGAGTCCAGCCTTTACCGAAGAGCTCTACGGAGGAGACGGTGCACACCGGGAGGAGAGGGTTTCCTCTCAGGGGCTGGGCTGACAACTCGGTATTTGTCCTCCTGTCGGTGAGGAGGAGAGGGAAGAAGCAGAGATAAGGGAGACCATCAGTGCTGGAGCGACCAGCCGCCTTTCTTCTTCTTCTGTCGGGGCTGCGGTAAAAAAGTCGTTCACGATGCCGGTGTTTCACACCAAAACCATCGAGAGTATCCTGGAGCCAGTGGCCCAGCAGATCTCTCACCTGGTCATTATGCACGAGGAGGGGGAGGTAGACGGTAAAGCCATCCCGGATCTGACGGTGCCGGTGGCCGCTGTGCAGGCTGCTGTCAGCAACCTTGTGCGGGTGAGTTTGAATCAGGGCGTCAGTTCAGTATGAGCTCAATGGCAAAGTGCCTGCATGAAGTGACATTTACCACTCAAACTTTCAACCTGCAGAAAAGCGATATTTCTGGAGACTGGCTGTTGCAGTGGTGTGACAGCGTCTGTTTAATGTGTCATAAATCATTAGAATAGCAGGTCAGCAGACTGCCCTGCACCTATCATATGCTAATATCGGTTCATTTTATTTTCTGTGGGGCTTCTGCGTTCACGGAGTTAAATCCCTGTTTGGTCTTTATTTGCCATTAAAATTGCATAAAGCTGTCATACACCCAGCTAACGCTCGTGCATGTTTTAACGGGGTCGTACAGTAGTTCCTACAGTAGTACAACAAAGCAACACAACATAGCAAAGTTTGCTGAGATTTGTAATCAGATGGCAGCTGAGGTCAATGAAGTTTGTAGGGCGGAAGAAATGAGTGGTGATTAAATTAAAAGCATGCCTGTGTGTGTGTGTGTGTGTGTGTGTGTGTGTGTGTGTGTGTGTGTGTGTGTGTGTGTGTGTGTG